AAACCAAGAACTTGAAAGAACCGACCTGATATCAGCCATGGCATCTTCATAACTATCTTCGTACTCCCCATCGGGTGAAGGAAGGCGGATACCATCGACAGCCATTTCAAGGATTACACTGAGTAGGTGGGGTGGTCAGAATGAGAGATAAAAAAGTGGACGACCATGCTCACATTTCGCCCAAGTCAGTAGGCGTGTAGTAGGCGTCCATTGAACCGTCGGTGGCGAAGAAACATGGGGATCAATTTATAAAGAGCCGCGAGTCACCATTTGTACATCGCGGATAAATATTCTCTGCCACCCTTTCTTTCGGTGACTGACGAGGGTCAACGGCGCCATGAGTAATTGAAAAGCTACCAAAACAACCTAAGACGAAAAAGGGAATGAGGGACAAAACAAAAAACATTGATTCAATGTTGACTGTGACCGTCTGACAAGAGCCTTACTCGCACGGTTACTGGCACGTCCTCTGCAAGTTGTTCACAAGCAGGAGAACCACTGACAAGGATAGTACGTCCCGGAGAAAATGTTCATAGAGAACCCCTGAGAAACGTACCTCACGCTTCAAACCAACAATCAGTATCATTTCCAACAGCTACCGTCACATTGCGAGGCATTCTTCATTTTCGTGCCGCCTACTAAGTATGGCAATGAAAGGCGCCACCACATATTACCAAATAACATTGCCGACCATACATACGATACATATCCATGAGATATAGAAACCAGTTCTTGTTTCCGATTCCCCGGTCGCTCCTCTGCAATCGGTCAGAAATCTGGAGGGATTCGGGAAGGAAAAGAATGAAAATACTTACCTTACACTTCGTGTTTAACAGTAATCTCCAAGCTTCAAAAAGAGCGAGACAGATACTGTCTATTCAAGGTGAGGCTCACGCAATACCCTAAGCCCTAGTCGCGTGTGGATAATCAGTTGAGACGCAAAGAAGACGTGAATCGATATCGATTTCGGATGACCGGCCCTAAAGTGAGCACGTGACGGCGTACCTTTCTGAATCACGAAATTTTCTTTCTTGAACACTTTCCATCACCATCGCCCTTCCTCACGACCTTCATATTTTCCTTCTCCCGTACTAAAAGATGTCGACGCCTACTCTGTGGACAATTCCCATGCAGCCAAAGGGCAAGCCGGTACGTGCAGTGTGGCTTTGATTCATATCGATATCTAAAGATGCCCTACAGATCCGGGCTGCAGCCGTTATCGGAGGAGTTCCCTTTAAGCTCCCGGATGCCTATGCACACTTTGAAGACAATTTGAAGCCTCCATTCTTGGGCAAATTCCCTCACGGAAAGATCCCAGCATGGGAGGATGGCGATTTCTTACTCTTTGAGTGGTCTGCGATTGCTCGATACGGTGCGTAATTGCGACGTTTTGCGATTCATTCCCGTTTTCCTAGGATGAGATTCATTCATTCAGTTATCCCTGTCTTAACATCCGTGTCGACAGCATTTCTAATTCTCTGATTTCTTTCTTCTTCTCCGTTACGATGGATACTGATATCTTCGGTTCCCAGTCGCCTCAAAAGCTCCCAATTCGAACTTGCTCGGCTCGACTCCAGAGGAAGCTTCTCAAGTTGACCAGTGGATCCACCTTGCTGAGAGTGAAGTCGATATCTATACCGTTCTTACCAACCATGTCTGCAACGGCAAAATCGCCGGATACTCCAAGCCTGCCCACATCTACTTCCTCGAGAAACAGCTTCGTGCTCTCAAAACTCTTGATGCTCACCTTGCTAAGCATACCTTCTTCGTCGGCGAGCGCATCACCCTTGCTGACCTCAGCGTTGCTGCCTTCATCCAATACGGCGTCAGCATCAGCATCGACGCCTCTGTTCGTGCCCAGGTCCCCCATCTCATCTGCCACCTCGAGACCATCGTCAACCAACCGCAGCTGAAGGAGATCTACGGCCCCATCAACTACACCGAGAAGGGTGTGCAGTTCGTCCCACCAAAGAAGGAGAAGGCCCCCGCTCCCCCTAAGGAGAAGAAGGTCGAAGAGAAGAAGCCGAAGAAGAAAGAGGTCGAGGACGACGGTGCTGACGAGCCCGATGTCCCTCCCGAGCCCAAGGTCAAGAACCCCCTCGATGACCTCCCCAAGTCGACGTTCAACCTCGAAGACTGGAAACGTGCGTACTCCAACAAGGACACTCGTGGAGCTGGTGGATCCATCGAATGGTTCTACCAAAAGTGAGAAGCATTCAATTTCCCCGCACCTCTCGTAACTCAGGTCTTTCTTCAGCTTCGACGTCGAAGGCTTCTCTATCTACCGTGTTGACTTCAAGTATAACCAAGAACTCACCCAAACCTTCATGTCCTCCAACCAAATCGGCGGATTCTTCAACCGTCTAGAGGCCTCGCGGAAGTACCTCTTTGGTTCCGTCGGCGTTCTGGGCCAGACGAACGATAGCGTGATTAGCGGTGTGCTCATCCTCCGTGGGCAGGATGTCATCCCTGTCGTGAACGTTGCTCCTGATTGGGAGAGCTACAAGTATGAGAAGATTGACCTCAAAGATGAGAAGCAGAAAGCCTTCTTCGAGGGCGCTCTCGCTTGGGATTTGGAGCTCGATGGAAAGAAGTGGGTTGATGGAAAGAATGTATGTCGTTTTCCTCCACCTCGCATTCTGTCGCATACTGATATCACTGCACGCAGTTCAAGTAATTTGATACTTACTGTAATGACTGTATTCATCATGTTGCTGCTGATCTATTAGCATTTGGGGGTAGTGTTCGATAGAGAATGAAAACACGAGTGTAACAATATTCTTGAATGCCAATTGGCGCGACTTGCTTACTCCTATCCCTTCCGAAGCTATGACGCCAGAAGATATCTCCCCAACACCGCTCTATGTCAACAGTGGAATTGACGTTGAGGTTTTTGTCTCAGACAGCCTATCTTGATATCTAGGAATTTTATCATTGAAACATCGACAAATGTAGGAAACAAGGTATCGAATCAAGAGTTCTGATGGGAGTCTTCGCATTATTATGGCGATTCAGGCACTGGGAATGGCAAGTAACGACTTCATATGATGAGCCAAGGTGAACCGAATACTGACCATTTCTGCTGCATTTACAGGGTGTACACTATCCTCATGGTCGGTAGGCAGTGGTGAAGCCGTTGTCTGTCACAAAATCGTTCTACCTGAAACATTTCGTGGACGCATCGGACAGCAAAGAAGTGAGCGACAACCCGGAGGACAAAGTCGGTAAACCAGAGGAAGGTAACGATGCGACAGGACATCCTATATGGCCAGTGACCATTCTATTGTATTTCCATCCTCTTTTCAGACTTGGTCGACTGTCATAAAATTGCGGATCGGACTGCCTCTAGTTTAGCCGTCGGCGCCAGAAAGCTTACCACTGTAGGAAGCGGATCGATGTATCTTTGACGAGGAGGCTTCCCGGCCTGTCCCCTGCTAGGAGCGTCTCCAGTCTTCTTTCACGCAGGCCTTCGCCTTGTATTGCCTTCATGCCATCGATGAAAAAAAGCTTCAATGGTCTTGCTTTGATATTGTCGTCGTGCAAGATGCTCGGTCAGTCTGGTGTGCTAGCCCTGCGCCAATGCTAAAGTTATCCTGAAGGGTATATATATATCTGACAAGTGTTCGATGTCATGTCAGGTACCAAAGAAAACGACCAGGTTTCTTTCCCTGATTGGGTAGGTACAGGAGATGTGCCAGCATTACCCTACACTCAGAAGCCGCCATGTCACAAGATAACTACATAAAGGCAGTTCTCCCTTTCTAGCTGAAGGTACGTTGTATATGACGGTTCTGTATCATGTTTATTGCTTACGCTTTAAAAGCGAGATATCAACCGATGTAATAAAACATCCTAAACTATTTCTGGCCCTCCGTCTGATCCATCTGTGAATTGATCATTTAACCACTGTGCAAGTGCCTGACTGAAACTGCGTACGGGGCTCAATCTGTGACGCGGATATCCTAACTGCAGACATACGCTCTGATTGAAGACGCTCAGTATTCAGCGTTTTTCATACGATTAGACCGTCACCGCGGTCCCACGAAAGCTACAAGGAAGAGTGCCAAACGTCGGATACGCGTCGGCGCGATCCCGCGGTTTCGCAGCTTGTTGATGGACCCAAGACTGCGGATACGTGTAGTCGGGAATTCTGATGACACTGAAAGCACCGCTCCTCATCGATTCATCGACTTAATCTCTTACCACTTTTTTACCCCCACTGCCAACGATGTTAAACACCTTTCGGTTATTCCTCCTATGCTTGTCGCTCGTTAACATTAAAGGAGGTGTGTTTCGTTACCCTTGTCCTGCGAGCGGGATAATAACGACGATTCCCGTTGCAGCCCTCGGCCAGGGATCAATATCCCGGCTCCCTCTCCTCCATCGCGATACCAACGACACTTCTGCTGTCAATATCTCGTACATTCCTGACGACTGTACGACTGAATGTAAGGACCTTGTATCCACCGTTGTGGGTTGCGCATCATTGTTCTCCCGAATCTGAACTTTGCGGGACTAACTCAGGGAACTTTGTGCAGGCCTGCGGAGATAGCATGAGCTCTTGCCTCTGCTCGACCGACTACAATGCTAGCGTATCTGACTGTCTTGCTTGCTTCACGGGCGCGGCTTCAGGTAATAACGAGCAGGCGATGCTCGAGGAGTTGAATGAGCGCAAGTAACACGCCTCTTCGTCCTTGTTTTCAAATTTACGCTCATGTGAGTGTACTCCGCATGCAAGGTTGCTGCTGCCGAAGCTGATGCAGCGACAACTGGCGGGATCAAAGAAGGTGCTATTCTAGCGGGAATGATGGCTACTTCGTGGATATTGATATTTTGGCTCTAACTCTTCGCCGGAGATGCTATTTGGCGTTCGCTCATTCCTACGCCACACTCACTTGATATTTATTCGTGATACGCTGAACTACAAAGTCAAGTTTAATTGTGGTTGCAATAAAATGGGTACCCTAGATGAAGATGTATATATTTATTCAGCCCTTCAAGGCACTATAGCCAAGTGGTTAAGGCGATAGATTCGAATTTAAATTAATCTATTACTCTCTGAGTGCGCAGGTTCAAATCCTGCTGGTGTCGTCAGTATTTTGTAGTTCAGTTTTTAATCTAAAATTCACTTTCAAACATGTTTCAAAGTCCAATGGTTCATTCACTGTGCATCGTAGCGGTGAGGTCCTCACTACGTACTTACATAAATGTGCTGTAGATATGGGTTAGATTTACTTCACTATTGTTCCACTTCTTAAAGCTATACACTAGTTTCTTTTCTCTTTTAATATGGTTCTTACGCGCTATACCTTCAAAATAATGACATTCAGTCCGATGTGAGTGCCCTATATTTTGCTACTACTTCAAATTTTGGATAACGAACTTCCCCCCACTACCTGAACATGATGTTGTTTAATGTATATATACAATATCTACCATATTCTCCTCAAGTACGCAACTGCCTTTTATGCATTGCCAAGTACAGAAACATAACTTTATTGAGTTTAAACTCAAGTAAGAACATAGCGGCGCTCCCAAGTCTATGTGTTGACAAGACTTTGATAATTCACGTTATGCGTTCCTACGTACCCACTCAGTCCACTGTGGTCCGACCTGGCACATTAGCTCCGTGATAATTCCTTCCCACTTATTCTTCTTCTGGGCCCACCATGACGAAGGACAGTTAGGATCCGTGTTCTTTTGCTCCATGTTTTGCATAATGACACAGTAGTGCGCCATGAGCAACAGGGCCCTCGGGCGCCGTTCAAATAGGAACATCAAAAATCTGTCTGAGACGCCCGAAAACCAAGCAAGGAGCGCGTATCCCTGGTATTGAGGGATAAACGATGCCTTCCATGCGAGCTGCAGTAATGTAAGAGCCCGCTGATAGTCCGCTGACACTTCCTCGTCAGCGACTTCTTCTGGATCTGGGGCGCCTGGGGTGGGAAACGGGACAGTAAACAGAAATTGAGGGAATGTATCTCCAGACTCGGGGTATGGTAGCGACGATAGTAATGTTGAAGGAGACAGTGGGAACCTACTAGACAATGGACCGGTTACACCTTGGGGAAGGGCCGGCCATTGCTGACATGTTTTAGTCAAGACTCGAAGGACACGTAACCAGTTCCGGAACCGCGAGTTGGAGGAATTCAGTGAAAGAGGCGATACAGCGAAGCCGTATATGACGATTACCGAGAGGGTGAGCACGAAAGGGATGAGATTAGGACTCTCAAATGAGGGAATGGTGAGCCCCGCCAATGCCGCGTTGCAGTGTACGGTGGCCGCATGGGAGTATCGTCCGGCATTCGGGCCCGTGGGGTCGACGGAATGGAGGTGGAGGGCAGAGACCGCCAGGATGGCATGAAGAAGATGAGAACCGTGAGCGGTAAAGGACAGTCTCGGTACTGCAGTGTTCCATACGCTATCCAGATTGGTTTCATTGACGAAAGTGAGGGTGTAGCACGTCCTGCTGGTATAGTGGTGCATAAGCTCCAATGTCCGCATGCTGAGAACAAAGGAAGCATTAGGATGCTGAAAAGTAGAGAGGCTCGAGATCTCTTTAGGCCGTCGACGCGATAAGGCAGTTGACACAGAGGCGGCGGAAACTTGTGTGTCAGGCGATGAGTTGACGAATTTGAAGGTTTTCGGAGTCCAGGTGCAGTCCACCTTTCTCTTTGTACAATTTTCGCACACGGGATATTCTTCGTCGCACTATAAACCATTGAGAGCATGATTAGCAGTAGCACACGGACGCTTACCTTGATTTTTCTTCGCTTGCACGTAGCACAACCTGTTCGTGATTTGGCATGATGACGAATGGCTCTACCAGTCATTTTTGAGGTCAGTGTTAGCATATACTTGGACAGCAGCGTCTTATATATCAACAACAGACTTCGATGATGGTCGACGACTAAAAACAGATGTGAAATCATCCGATCATTTTGACCACATCATCGGACGCCGAGCCTGGGCACGATGCACAGAGGCGACCTTTTTACGACTGCTAGAAAGAATTGCAGTGTAATATTGAAAATTTTCTGGATTCCAGAATGTCTGAAATACAAAGAGCCTTCAAATGGCAGTTTTGTCAGGCGCTTTGCGGACTTATAGCTGAGGCGAGTAGACCCTTCCAAGAGCAGCTCCGAGCGAAGAAGAATATTGCGCTTGACGACGAGCCATCTAAAGGTACACCATCCAATACTTTGGTACACAAGTGACCACAAAGTAGGTGGAATCGGCAGTTCAGACATCGCTGATATACAAAAGCCGATTACTCTTTCACGTCAATCTTCAGTGTTTTGAAACATATGAACAGCAGAGAACGCCATGCTGTCGGAACAGACCACCTATTACTCGGAGGGAAAGGGACTGAGAGGAGATGATGAATAGAAGAAAGATCAGTGTGACGTGACAAGCTTGTACAACTCGGGAGTAAATAGCGGCCTTCAGTTAATTCCCATCGTTACATCTGATTCTTACACACGCAGGTTGGTGGTACCATGGTCAGTACATCAAATCGACCTCATGTTTACCATCAGAACTACTCATCTTCAATGCCTCTCTCCGCTTTCGCATTTAATTTTGCGACCCCGTGGCCAAGGAAGGATGGACTGCATCCGAAACGCTTACTTCGACTCACCTCGTCATGTCAGTACTCGTCAGCTACTTCTTAATCGCGCCATCTTCACAACGGTACGTCTATGTTACAGTACAGAATGTGACAATGCAAGAGGTGATAATGCATATGATGTAACAATACATACGGTGGCGGTGACTCCCGATCTCGTACGCAAGGATTTATGCACAAGTTAAACATACCGTTGCCGAAAATTTATATGCATTATCACATTCGGAAAAATGCCGGGTTTGGAGCATATGTATACGCATGACCTACCAAAATTCCCGTTTATGTTGGCTCAGTGAAGCTCGTGCCGTTAGAACTAAAATACAAATCTGTAGGAAATGGAGCAGAGGACGCCAGAAAATACCCGAATTAGGTACGGCATCTCACATTGTCACGGAGATGTCACGACTTGTGACAATGTGCTCATGCATAAGCGGAAGCGGCTCCCAACATTATCACACTTTGTGCTGTACGTCTAGTCAGAAAATCATGCGGTTAGCCGAACGAAGGCATACCCTTAACAGAAACAATCTATTACAGCTCCGGGAGTACGTGGGACGAGAAGAGGGTGAGCCTGCCCAATCTAGTAGCGTGAGATGTACGCTGCCGAACAAGAAGCCAGAATCCTTAAGACCTGAAAACAGTTAATGAACAGGTGGTGGCGTGAAACTTGGCAGAGAGAGAGTTTGAGGAAGACTATCGACGGGGAATCCGGAATTAACACTGCACCCTCTTCGTCGACTTGAACGATCTATGCGTAGCAAGCCTTTTGTAAGCATAATCCATGGACACAAATGCAAGGTCAGACTTTGGGTGCCAAGAAACGAAGGTAGAGGGCGTCAGACGCTCTGAACAGATAAATTCATGACAGCAATAAACAGTCCAACTTGGAAAAGTGAATGAGAACAAAGACACAAAGAGCATCCGTCTTGAAGACATCTTCATGGCCCGCCGGTAATTCACTCAGGATTGGGATCCTTCCCCAGCAATGGCGTACTCTCATTTACAGGAGAAGATATCGAGGCATTCCGGTGGCGCTCGACAATTCTAACGATTGTTAAGAATGAATCAAGTGAATGTCCTGCTACTTTGACTCACCCCTTCATGATGGCAGCGTTTGTCAGCCGCTTAGCCCGTCGTTTATTGACGTTATCTTCGTAACGGTCTGTTTCGTCAACAATCTCTTCGGTGATGATTTCTTCGATTATGTCTACAAAGGTTAGGCAATCAGCCTTCTTGATCAATCGGAGCCGAACAGAAGCACACCTTCAAGAGTAACAACCCCAATTGCACCACCTGCTACTCCCGGAGTACGTGATATGAGAAGGAGATGGGCTCGCCCAGTCTGGCTAGAGGACGGGTGAGATAAACACTGCTGCAAGAGGAAATGGCATCCTCACAAATAATCCAATGCATGGAAACAGTTGATCGAAGGGTGGGCCTCGGGCAGGATAGACAGTGCAAAATTTGACACCGGGAATGCTTGAGAAGGATCGTAGTTAATTAGCTATGGATAACGTGTATGTGTAAGAGGGGATATACTCAGGACAAATAAATGAACTGACCTTCTTGACTAACAACAGCCCAACAAAAGCCAGTGGGTTTTCGGGATCATGTACTGGGAGGCGGGAGTATCCGCTCATTATACTGTCAGGCAATTCAGCAGTGAGGACGCTTCAAGAAATAGTCCACAAACATCTTGTCGACTGTGCTGTGATCCAGTACTGTGTCCTTGCTAAGCGTAAGAACATCCTACAATGCAATTAGCTCTTACCACGCCACGATAGCTATGTGCTTGCCTCCATCCTCGTCATTATTTCTTCAACGTTTTTTGAGTTGAGTTCCAGCACGCCGCTCAAGATGGATATTTCATCGTCTCTCAAAGGCTCCTCTCCAGTGCGATGAAATTCTAGAAAAGATTTCAGCTCAGCTTTTCTGTAGGTGTGTGCCTCATTAGCGCCAAGTACATAGTCCAAGAGCTTGGCTATAGGATAAGCGACAGGTGCTGAGATAGAAGGAAATGAGTGTAAAGCCCACAAAGTGAACCGCACGTTCCCACCAAAAATATACATCAATGCTAGGACGAATGGTGTGCATGCCGCACCGATGGACAGGCCGTATCTTACGCTCAGCGATTGTGGAATAATCCTGTAAATGACGCGTCGTGAGAAAGTATAAGGCCTAAAAGGCTAGACATACTCTCTACATACAAATCAGATAACGCGAACTTGAACTTGAGCAAAAGACGCACCCGAAGATGACTAGAAATTTCCATTAACCAGCGCAAATGCTATAGTCACTAGAACTCACCGATAGCAGCTGTCGAAATTGCTACAGCAGCTACGCCTCCTCCTATCTACGTGCGGGATGAGCCAAGAGAGCGCTCAGAATCTGCCAAGGACGTACCGCGCTGTCAAGGAAAATGGGAAGACTCTCGTTGATGATCTGTAGGGGCACCTTCTGTCGC